CCAGCCCTGGGCCTCTCAGACTAACCGGATGGCTCCGATTTATTGCTCAAAATCTTGACTCTTTATTAATAAAATACTTCCTAGCCTTATCTTCAGTAATACCAAAGTTTCATCAGTGCAGTTACCTTTTAATACACTGAAACACAGGACCTCAGCTTTCCAAAGGGGAAAGATACGGCCACCAGAAAAATACCTGAAGAATTTTGTTGCAGGGATATGAGCTCTTTGGCAAACAATAAATCTTACAACTTCCTTTCTTCTGAGCTTAATTTGCACTCTAAAGCTTCCTATCAGGGTACTATGGCAAGCCTCCACCGTGTATAAATGCTATGCAATCAAATAATCAAAAAAACATACAACGTGCCAGTCCATACCTTATTCAAAGTCTTCCATATTAATTATACCAAAACCCGTATCAATTCTTTATGTAGCCTCAGCTGCGGACTGTGCAACCAGCAAACGTGTTAGTAGAAATTTAAATAAATCTCAAGACTCGTCTTGCTAATTTAGGCAGGTGATCTTCAGAAGTTGCATGCTTTAATCCTGTAAGAAAGCGACTTAAAAGGTTACACTAAAAACCTGATTTATTTAAAAAAGAGTAAGGACAATGAATGCAATTTAATTCTATAGGAATGTGGTAAATAAATTGCGTATACACACACAATGAGGTGAGCTTTGAAAGTTACTCTAAGTCTTATGAAGAACTGCCACCAAGTCAAAACTCATTGAGCACAGTGAACAAGAAAACCAGCACCTAACCCCCGCACCGAAGGTGGGAAATGGTCACCCTGCCAAGAGCTGTGTAACGCGCTTTTGAGTTGTTATTGCTGGTATACAATGGAATAACTCATTCCAAGTACACCATTTTTTAAAACATCTTCTTCTTCATAGTTCGTTTTACTGACAAGCAAACCAGTTTAGCAACATCACCATTCACCAGTGTTTTCCTTTAAAATGTTGTATTTCAGGAATACATGAGCCAAAACCCGAGTGTGATCTGTGCGGGCTAACACATCCTAATTCTATAGCGTTTACCACATCGACCACATAGAAGCTTTCGTTCATACGTCTGTAGGATCTGTAAAAGAAGATCCTCAGATGCTACCAGAGCAGAAGCAACTCTGCTCCTGTGCCAAGCAGTGCCACGCGTACAGGCCAATGTGCTGTAAAAATCTTACTTGATCTACAAAGCTCAGGGACCTCTTCACAAGAGCAAAGTAGAACTGTATCACTTATTTACATTAAAGTTCATGAAAAATAAGCTGATCAGAGCAGCTTAATAAATACTTTTTTAGTTCATGTTTTTTTCGTATTTGTTTACTTACCACATTAATCGCCACAAATTTGCTTTTTACAGATTCAGTAGTTGATATATAAAGCAGATTTTTAGTCAGTATTATAAATTACAACCAACAAATTCAACAGTTCATTCTTATGTACTTCTAGTCCGAACAAATTCCCGCTTTACCAATAAGTGGGAAATTCTCTCCCTATTTCAGCATCTCAGATTATTCCTGATGTTCGTGCTCCTGTCCTGGGATCAGCCATCGAATGCTCTCCGTTCGAACGGTAGCATACATGACAAAACTAGCCAGAAAGAGCAAAGAAAACAGAAGCAGCCAATCTATGCCTTTGGTCAGAACGCTGGGCAGGGGGCCTTCCCAGTCTTCCTCGGTCACAGCCACATCGCTTTTAGCTTCTATACCTGAAAAAGCAAGCACTTGATCAACACCAGTAATAATCATTAAAGAGAAGTTGGTTGTATTTGGAGCTTTGTTCCTCTTCTCAGACTAAGGCGTATGTACCATTAGACTTAAAATTTTGGTGAGACAGTCCTTGTATTTTAACGTATGTCTAGCATATAGTTTACTTATGTAAAAACGAAAGGCTATCGATGTGTATGTATATTTTCATAATAGGAGAAGGCTCGTTCTGTCCTTCCACAGCACAGCTTTGTATAAGTTTGTGGGGTTTTTGTCTGTGGAGGTTTTGAGTATTTCTGCTGTATTAGCAAATATAACAATTTCTGGCCTCTAACGAAGGCCCTCGTAGACCTACACGTGTTTTTTGTTTTGGTTTGGTTTTCTTTACAGAAGCACAGAAGGACCCGAGAGCTGGCTGGCACTGAGCTCACAACGTGGACAGCCAGATCACGGAAACTGGAATCCTTTTGTCTCCTCCAGCACAAGAACCGAAACCATCTTATCCCCCAGCTGCTGTCAGCCTTATGTGACTCTGGCAATGATCCCAAGGTTCATCTGCCTTTATTCCCAAATTAAATATTTGGGCAGAAAGACGTGCTCGATCCTTCTAGAGCCCCTCTAGCTAAACCCCACTGTTTCCTCCCACTCTGTAACACCAGCCAAGTAAGTTGAGTCTCTGCTTTCAGCATGCCCTGAAATCCAGCGCACTACAGCACTGACTATATAGACCTCTGTCGGGTCCTCTCAGGGTCTTTGTGAAATTCGTTTTAAAGAATAAGCAACAGGGAGAGGAAAGCCCAGTTTGGAGCTAAAAGCCAGCCTGTTCTTCCTACTGACACATCAGGGCTGATTTACATACCTGTTTGATTAAAAATGAAGTCTTTCAGTGTTTCCAGCGTTCTGTCTGTATGATTAAATCTAGCCATAGGTTTGACACCTTGGAAAAGGAGGATATTGGGTACAGCCACAGTTCCAAATCTAGTTGATAAACTGGTGGACATAAAGCAAATACAAAGCATGAAGGAAAAGAAATCCACTGGAGGAAGAAACAAAGATAGTCACGATACAGAAGTGTCAGTTTTACTAAATTAAATTGTCACTTTATAAGAAAGAAAAAAAAAAAAAACACTTCTGTTTTTAAAACACGCAACTTGCTAATGGAAATAAACTGATAGCAGAGCACAGGAAGTGTAAATTACCTGCTGTGCTGAGATGCATCCAGCGCCAGGAAGCGAAGAGTTGGAAACGCTCGAGGTAAAGAATTAAAATGAGGTGCCAGACTGGCAGAAAAGCGGCACCACGGCGTATAGAACAAGACTAACGTACAGTCACTGCTGTTTGGGTTTAAGAACTCCATCAGGTCCTTCAAGAAAGCAGATGAAAAACAAACATGGACAATTATGTATTTAACAGAGTTAAATTCTACATACGAATGCATCATTCAGCAATCTATTAGATCGTTGACAATATTTATCACGTAGCTGCACATTTGTTTAACCTTTTTAAAATAGATGGAGAAGTGTATTTGACCTTTTTTAAAGGTTATTTTAAAAGTTTATTACTTAAAAAACCCCATATACATTACCATTACAAGTAATAAGTTAGAAATAGGCACTGGTACTAGCATTAAGTGCCATTAGCAATTTCAGGGAGAGACACTAATCCCTGCAGCACGAAAACTGATAGTTTACTGCAGGCACACACATGAGAGACTCAGGCATGTGGACTGAGCTGCATCTCCATTTTTTTCTGCTCAGAATGACACAAAAAGCCTCCCTGCTTTCCAGAGGTTTCCTCTTTTCGATAGCACAGAGGATGTTAGGCAAGGAAATTCACTGAGTCAGACACTGGAAGAAGCAGCACACGGTGCTGACAGGGCATCTTTCACCACCCTCACGCCTTCCAAGTAACACCAAGCAGCGGCCCAGGCGATCCACTTACCTGAGACACGTTGAGGATGTGCAGCGTGAAGCGGTCGATGCCAGTGATGTTTCTTTCCTCGCAGTTCACTTTGGGAGCTTTGGCGCTGTCGGTGCTATTCGACTCCTCGGCGGGCGCGGGCAGCACCGTCTCCAGCACGGCCTGCTCCCGGCCCTGGCTGCCCG